AGGAAGCGTCAAAGCGAACACGCACAGAAACGCCAGAGTCTGAGAAGCTCCTCACCTGAGATTATCTCCCGCTTGGCTTCATCCAGGTGACTGGAAACAACGTCCCCCATGATAGAAGACAGTCAGGCCCACTCAGGTCTCCACGGAAGGTCTTCAAAAACACTCTGTGGCCTCCTCTCCACCACAACCCACGCAGCTGACAGCAGTGGATCCAGATCCACGGAAAGAAAGGAGGAAAAAAACTTCAGGCTGACTAACAAACCACTGGAGTTTTCTCCTTCAAGGGACACACCCTCTGCTGAAGTAGGAGGAGACTCCCCCACCCTCCCCTCCCCTCCCTCCCGCTACGTTCAGGTGCTGTAGGAAAACAGAGCTGCAGAGAACTCATTTAAACATTTAATTTCATTTAATAAAATAATAAATCAGCCATTAGGAATAGTTTACAGTAAACTCTGTTATTTATTTCAAAGATCATTACAAACTATATTCACTCTTTAAGGCTCTGTGCTTTAAGGTCCAGAGCAGTGGTGGTTCTAGATGAAATATATCAGGGGGGCCATGATGAGGCCGCTGTTTTTTGGGGGTGCATAAAACTGAAAAAGAAAAAAAAAAACACAAAGACACACACACACACACACAGCTGTGTTTTTTATGACATATGGGGACATTTCATTGACTTGCATTCATTTTATAAGGCCTAACCCAGACCCTTACCCTAACCCTAACTATTACCAAGATGTTCCTAATCTTAACCTAAACTGAATTCACACCTTAGTCCTAAACCTAACCCCAACTCAAAGAACAAAACTTTACCCAATAGGGACCAGCTGAATGTCCCCATATGTACCTGTAAGTCCTTGCATATAGGATATTTTACAAAATACTTCCCTCACATTGTAGGTAAAACAAGACCAAACACACACATACATGTTTAGTATAAGTGAACCATAAAACCCAGGTTGCGCACTTGATCTAACGGTTAAAAACTGTGATCATAATAGTTAAAGTAAATTGTCCAGGCCTGTGATCATTGGAAATATATTTAGTTATACTGCAAAAACAGATCTAAAAAAGTAATTTTTTATATATATATAATTGCATCGGCTAATTGGGTTAATTTTTTTGTGTGTGTTTTCAGTACAGGGGCCATAAAAGGGATCAGGACTAGTTCTACAGGGGCCCCTGTCTAGAACCGCATCTGGTCCAGAGATTTTGTCCTCCAACTTGGCCTCCCTGAACCTGCTTGGATGCAGTTTGCAGACAGTCAGCTTCTAGCCTATAGGATCCATTCTGAATTTTTATTTTCTAATTTTCTGTAATCAAATAGACAAACATTGATTTATCCCAATAAATGAAATAGATCCATCTCTGTCTTAATATATGAACAATGTTTCACACTTTTTACTGTGGGAGATGTGCAGCTTGGCAGAGCTCCATCCATTCGGGGGTCAAGGTGGGGGTGCTGAATCTTTTTAATGAAGTATGTAACAAATCCCTTATATGTAAATAAAGTCATTTAAACACTGTGTGTTTCTTTTAATCAGGTCATAGCTACACAACATGATAAGCAGACGTGTAGTCTACTGTTGGTAGGAGCGAAGTTCTGGAAAGCAAAGTTCTGGAAATCTTCTAGAACAAACTTCCGCCTTTATTGGTGAACAGGAACAAAAAAATTCTCATTGCTGCAGATTTTATAACAACCGATCGGCTCAAAGAATCAAAGCTCTGCTCTAGTGAAGCCAATCGCCTTTGCTTTTGATCAGGTAAACAGTGCTGCTGTCAGATGAAGAGCTCCTGTAGAGAGAGGCTATAAGCACAGATGGGGAATAAATCAATCAGACTAAAGAAGTGATGTGATCAAAATCTCTGAAACAAGCTGAGAAAAAAGATGTTGCAAATGTTTCTGATCCCAGAAATGAAAAGCAGTTTGTCTTTCTTCCTATTGGCTGTTTGGCTTATCCACATTATTTATGGTAGACATCTGGAAAGCTTTAGGAGGACCATTAAAGCTGCAGTCTGTCATCACGCACAGCGTAGACTCCTGTAATAGCAAGCAAATGTTTCACTGTTTTTCAGCAGCAGCCTCTTGGGAGAACAACCAATGGAGCTCAGTTCTTCAGCCTCAATCCTTGATGTCATTGATCAGGCTGTAGCTGCTGCTTCATTCTGCAGAGAACTACTGCAGTTTGCTCCTAATCTAAAATCATAAAGGTGGTCAAAGATCCTCAGCATATATGAAGAAAGGTCACTAACTAGTTAGATGTTCTCCATAAGAAGGTAGATGTTGTTTACTGGCTCTCTGCTGCCATCTGGTGGACACTAAATGTTCTATGTTAGTTTTTAAACCATGGGTTTCCAGATGCATTTAATCCATTAGGTCCCAATATCCAGATGTTTCAAATGTATTAATATTTATTACTCAAGTAGAAGTATAAATCCTGTCTAAAAACACTTTTGTAGAAGTTAGAGGATCACCTAAGCTTTTTACTCAAGTAAAAGTGTTAAAGTACCATTTTTAAAACATGTTAAGGACAGAAGCTTTACTGCACTGCTCTGTTAGGGGAACATTTTTCTACAATTCTGGATGATAACTTCCTTATACCTCATTTTCTTAGTTTTATAACTAATGGTAATAGTGTCAAATTTAAGTTTGAATCATCTGGAAATAATAGTTATTTTGATATGTAGTGAATAACAAGTTTATGCAGCTCCGAGTCCAACCACAAGAAAAATTGTTTGGATGAAACAAATTCTGATGAGTTTTATTTTACTGTATTATTTTTTTTAAACACCAAAAGGCCATAATGAAAATAAGCTTAAATTAAACAAAACTAATGAGCTTATTTTTTTAAATGTAAGAAGCAGAAAGTATAGATAATTGCAAAAAAAAAAAATTAAGGAGTAGAAGTAAAAAATTGTCTAAAAAATAATTATTCCAGTAAATTATACATAGCCAAAATTTCTACTTAAGTAATGAAGTATTTGTACTTTGTTATTGAACACCCCTGGGAATATCAGAGGTTGGAAGAATTTAAGAGTCGCATTAAATCAACATTTTTATGCGAAGTGAAATTATTTTTTAGTGAAAAAATTATTATTTTTTCACTAAACCTACTCAAGTAAAAATAACTAAATAAATATTACTACCACTCTAGCCCAAAATGTTTTATCATTGTTATGGTTCATTTTGCCATGATGATGATGTTGTTGATGCTGTTTTATTTCTTTCGTTTCTGATTCTAAATGAAGTTAGTTTGTCATCAAATTAAACACCTCCAGGTTTAGGATGGAAGATGCAGGTTTTGGTTCTTTGAACCTCCATCTTCCTCCAGAGTGATCCGGAGATTTAACAGTTAATGCACTGGAGATGAGGAGACCTGATGTGACATGGTCCCTGAAGCCCAGTGGCGGTTCTAGACCAAATCATACCAGGGGGCCAGAAGGGGACCAGTGTGTTCTCATGAGGGAACAGAAAAGCATGAAATAAAAAACAGGGCAAGGGATTCAAATACATTATAAGTAGCTGCATGAAGTGACATTTCTATTCAATTAGGTTTAAATAAAATTCAATGTCTTTTTAGGTCAATATACAATCAGAATTTAGGAATGTTACATATTTTTGACTTAATTTAAGTTAAAATAACCTTTTTCTATAAAATCACAATTATAACTCAAGAACAACTGATAAATTCAGCTTTATAAATTAGAGTATTTTTCTTAATTTGTTTTGGAAAAAAAATAGCAGATGAAAACTGGGATCCTATCTAAGCTGAATCACCTTATTATTTTTAAATTATTTGTTAAACACCGTTTTTTAAGGAAAAAAAACCGTGTCTGTTCCAGCGTACATCCTCATTAGAACTTCCTTTAGTATTAGAAGAGGAACCTGAAGGCAGTGAAGTCAGTCTGTTTCCACTTTAACAGATCAAACAGTTCCAGGTGTGTCGATGACAGAAACCATCAGAAGCGTCGATCCTTTAGTTTTCTAATAAATGTGTCCAGACAGATAGAATAACAGGCTTTTATTTTGGACCGGAAGCCTGTGGGTCCGCATAAGCGCAGCGCAGTCCGAGGCGCGCGCACTGCGTAAAGGACGCACCATGGCTCCGCTGGGACTGAAAGCCATCGCTGGGGAAAGTAAGGACAGTTTTTATCTATTTTCATTTTAGGAGAAGGTTACTGTGACTGAAGAAGAGAAATGTGTGAAATTCTTCGGAGCAAAGTTCAGTAGATGGTTCTGCTCAGTGTGTGAGGCGCGCCTGCATATAGTCCAGAAGTGTGGATTATTGGGATTATTGTTGATAATTTGTCATCTATTGGCAGATTTCTGCTCTGGAATTGTCCTAAACTGTTGACTCTGACACCATCCGGCCAATTCTAACCAGTTTATCTGTGTTTTATTGGACCACAGCCTTTCTGAAGCTTTTATTTTGCTGTTTATTCTGAGAATAAAACATGGAGACCTTGGACGGTGTAAATCCCGGGTCTCTAATCTGTGTCTGTGGGATTAACTGCTTGACAGAGGGAGAGGAGAACAGATTCTACCAAACGCGAAAGCAGATTTAAAAAGTCCTTCTGTCTCATTTTGCACACAGATTTGTGCTCATTCTTTTAAAAATGTTTTAAAAATATGTTTTGACAAATGGTCAGGACTTTGTGGTCAGGATGATGAGACATCAGCTGATAGCAGCAGGTTTAACTCCCAGATGAAAGCAAACTTTTGGTTTCAAATGATTCATTTAAGTTATCCTGAGTAGCATGAAACAATTAAATAAAATTAAATTCAGTTTATTTCTATAGCGTCAATTCACAACATATGTCATCTCACGGCACTTTACAGTTCAACCAAATCATCCAGTCAAATTGATTAAAAGTTTTCTATCTAAGGAAAACCATTTGATTGCATCGACTCATTGACTGGAAGGCAATCCCTCACACTAAGCATGCTTGTAGCGACAGTGGAGAGGAAAAAGTCCCTTTTAACAGGAAGAAACCTCCAGCAGAACCAGGCTCAGTGTGAGCGGCCATCTGCTACACTGGACTACACTGAAAAATAGGCTGAGCTCGAACATCTATAAACAAAGGTGTTGATGGCAGCAGCACAGCTGATATTTCTCTCCAGGATGGAGTCGCAGCCAAACAGGAACAGACCAGGTGAAGCTACTAAGAGAAAAAGCAGAGAGAGCAGAACGTTAGAGATTGAACTAATAGATTCTGCACAATGGGAAAATGGAGACAGAATGATGTAAAGTTTCGATTTTTAATTATCCAGAAGATGTTTCTGTCAGAAAAGATGTAGATAAATAGGTAAATAAGGAAGAAATTAAATCAAATAAAAGCTACAATAAAAAAGCTAGGAGTGATCCAGTAAAGGTTCTTATCCTCCAGCCTTTTCAACCCAGTGGCAGAATGCTGTAAAGCAGTCCGTTGGTTCTAGTTCTGATATTGTGGTACCACTGGTTGAATATTTGTGAGAGGGCTCTGAGGATCTCTTACTGGGGTTCCTCTGAAACAGATTCTGGCACTCCCATCTGCCAGCCCGGGTCCCATCACCTTTTTCTGCAGGGCGAATAATTTTACATGTTTTCATCTGGAGAAGCTGATAAGCAGAACCGGTACCTGATTTCTGCAGAAGGCTGTCAGGAAGCTTGCAGGTTTTACTGTCCTCAAAGAAAGCAGCCTGGGCCTATTTGGGTCTGCTGGGTTCATTTCATGACACTGTGCTCATCAGACATTTATGTCCTCTGAGCACCAGGGGGGGCAAGAGTTCCCCCATAGTTGGACTTGAACAGATTGTTGCACAGATGGATGTTATAATTTTTCATCCAAACATTTTTAAACTGTTTTTGGTAAAAAAATAAAATAAAAATGACTCTAATACTAACTGATGGATCATAGGTCTGGTTTACTTCGTGAAAATGTTTGCATCAGTCTGACAAAAATAAAAAATCTGCAAATACTGGTAAATATGGTAAATCCCTGAAAATAAACTTGACTACAAACAGGACGTCTCACCTTGACATAAACTCTTGATGTGTTCATTGAGAGGTTGATTTGCTTTTTCAAAAGAACCTTAAGGTTTCCAAAGTAGCCAGAATCTTTCATTCAGGTAAGACTGATACTTCAAAACAATATTACAACTTATTTATTACTTAAACTTAGAAAAACTTTATTGTCATTTTGTATGCACAGAGTGTATACAAAATTAATTTCATTGCATACAGCTTACAACAATGTCATGATGATGCCGTTGGAGTAAGATAAACTTTACCAATATAAAGTGCAGCAGTGATCCTAATGTAACAATGTAAGAAAAAAAGAAAACAATCTAATCAATGGTGCAAAATGGCATTAATATGAAAAAGTTTTGTGCATTGCAAACTAAATATGGTGCAAATACAGTAGATCATTGAGTCATGTCCTATTAAAAAGGATTATAAAAGTTCCACACGCTGGTAGTGCAAATTACTAATGACAGAAGTGAAGTGTTTCTATTAGCTTGTTCATATCCTAGATTTTGATGCAGTTTAATAGATATTCTTATACAATATTCTGGCTAATTTTCAATATCAGATGAGGACATCCGTACTTTACAGAAGCAATTCTAATCATCTAGACGGGTTGATTGAATGTTTTCTATCTCAGGAAAACCTGCTGACTTTGCTGGAACCATTACTCTTGCATTAGGTTGTTGGGACGATAGCCATTCAATTGCATTGTGCCATTGACTTTACAGCAATTCCTGACACAAAGCATGCATGGAGTGACGGAGGGGAGGAAAAACTCCCTAACAGAAAGAAACCTCCAGCAGATCCAGGCTCAGTGTGAGCGGCTACCTCAACTACCTTAAAAAGCTGTGCTCTGTGTCCCTGCATTAGGAAAAGATTAATCAAATCTAAAATTGGAGGGAATATATATTGAAATGACTCGAAAGGAACCAGATCTAGGCTCAAATTAAACCAATAATTTAACTCTGAAAGTTCAGCTGGATCAAAACAGTCCAAACACACTGCAGTTCAGGTTCTATAGTTACTTCCAATGATGCCTCACCTTCCAGAGATGATCTAATTATATAGAGGGCTAGGCCAATGATCTTATATTTGACAGACAGTTGGATGGTTTAACAGAACTATGGCTCTTTGTGAGTTTGGCAACTGTCTTAAAAAGATACCTAGGATTATTCTTATCTTCTTATGAATAATTGATTTCTTTTTCAAATGGGTTTGTGTTTTCTAGTGCGAAGGATAGAAAGGAAATAATCCAGGGGAATACATTAAGTGGCTGAAGTGTTGTACTGTGATACAGAGGAGATTAAAAAAAAGAGTATAAATTCTTTACATTTTATAAGTAAATATTTACTAAAATGAAACATTTTAACATTTGCAGAGGAGAACTCAGTTAAATCAAGTTTGAAGGTTACTAAAACGAGGTCAGAAAGGACAGGGTTTGGAGGAAATACTTTTGTTTCTTCACATTCAGTCTCATTATTCTACAAACACTAAAAATACTTTTCTTATTCACAATTATCTACGGAAATTATGTGCGTAACATGAAGCAGGGTGGATAAATTGAGCAGCTTCAAATATTAGATAACGTTATTTATTATAAATCAGTTTGAAAAATTAATAAATTCTAAATGATGTAAATGAAGGATGATCTCAGCATGGATTATTCTTTAAACCTTTGACATTACCAATATATCATTTGAATAACTGTCCAGAATCGTCTTTCTAGCGTTTCTACCAGTGTGTATCTGAGCTAGAATAATGCCGCTGTTTACATGTGACGTCACAGCCACTGACACAGAAACAGGACAGAAATAGCGTCAGGCAACGGTAAGAGGATTGGGAGCAGATTAGTGGGGTGATTGCAGTGGGTCTGTCCCTCCCCCTTGGACAAAGATTGGACAGTCGTCTCCTACTGGGGGAAGACCTTCCACCTTAGAGTGGAAGGCTGCAACAGTTAGAACTGCTTCTGGCCTCCCAGCTGCTGTAGAGAAAGGACATGTGGCCATATTGACCCCTGAATGAAATATCTGATCTAAATGGTTCGATCAGCCATTCACAAGCAGGTTTCTGATCACCATTGCTGTGATGAACCATGCTGTCTCTCCTGCAGCACTCAGAAATCTACAACTGGGATTTGGATTTTAACCGAGTTTCCATTGTCATAGGTGAATGATAGTTCAGTGGGTGAAACAGACGTACAGAGAAGTTCAAACCCCATTGATCTCCTTTCTCTTCAAATCTCACAATTCTAAACTTCCACCATACAACGGGCGAATCCAAACGAAGCGCCAAGTTGATGTAAACTCGGGGATGTTGCCTTATTTGGTTCTGGCCTGTACTTTTGTCCAGCTTTGAAATTGACATACAGACCAGCCTACTGGGCCTCTGACTGGACCGGACCTCAGCAGAGAGCCATGAGCCGCCCATCCTCACCCGGAGGGCTCGGTTCGAGTGCCCGGTGTGTTTTGACTACATGCTGCACTGTGGTCAACCATAATCCATGAGCAATTTGAAATTCCCTCTTTTTTAGGTCTGAAAGGTAGGACATGTCTGGGAAAAAGAGGACGTCTGGTCACCCTACCATATCAACAATTTAATGTTTTAAGTGAGTGAGTGCTTGTTGCTATGATGTGTCTTGGATCAGCAGAGCATGAGCATACCATAAAAGGAAGAAAACCTGTCGTTTCATTCTAGGGCTTTTAACCAGGCTTGCATTAGGGCTCGTAGAACAGCAACTATGGCATTTTCAGCCCAACCGATGTTACACACCCTATTCAGAGACCTTAAGGACCAGATACCCTATAGAACCATTCTATGACCCCTTTAATGTTTTCAATTTTATAAACAACTGGTGTCTGAAAAATGAGAAATGTTCATTGTAATCCAGTCCCCTGGGTCAGAACTTGGTAGAACTACCTTCACTGATGTCAGCCAGATTGGATGGAACTGGATTTCTGAGAGATGAGTATCCTCTGACCCAAATTATCATCTTCTCAGGAGTGTTTTGGTTCTCCTAGAAAATGAAACTCCACCCAACTCATTGGTAGCTTCTACTCAAGAATGTTCTGAATTTAGCTCAGTTTGTATTCTATCATGGTCTGTGGTTTGTTAATTTGGACCAAAGAGCAAGATTTTGTAAACAATGTCGACCAGTGACAAAATAAACTAAAGTCCAAACCACACCAGCATCCAAAGACAGCAAAGCTGCAGGGCTGAAAATCCTTCTATGCCTCCAGCTTTAAAATGCTACAGATAACAGCAATGACAGAACCAGACAAGATGGGTCGACGGGAAAGTGACTCGTGACACAAAGGTTTGAAAACAGCAGAAGACACAGAAGAATACCTGATTAAGAAAGATAACCCAAAACTAGACACTGTGAAAAAACAGACCTAAAAATAAACAAAGAATCACTTAAAACATAAGAACCAGAACACCTGGGAAGAACCCAAACTTTGACTATAGGACTGAGATCCCATCTGTCCCGGCTGAAGACAACGTTTCCCATACCATGATGCTACCACCATGAGTCATGGTGGAGACAGAAGGCTTGGTCCACCTTGGTCCACTTGTACGCTGGGTTGGAATTGTAACAAACCTCTGGTTCTTCTTGACCTGTCTTGACCACCAATAACACCAAGAACCAGAAAAGAACTTCAACTTCTAATGAATGAAGAGTTCTGTGTGACCTTGCTCTGGTGCAGCATGGATCCTTTAAAGTCCATTGTAAAGGTTAGAGACAGAACTAGACCACTTTTAGGACTTTAGCATCATTTCATCCCTAACAGGTTCCTGGTGTTTCTGAGGGGCTGAGATCTGAGCCCATTGGCCGTTTTATCCTACTGAACCGCTCCAAAGATTGAAGGAGACAGAACTTTTCTTCTGACCCTGCGGACTGAGGTCTAAACTAATCCCCCTGAATTGCTTCTAGATTATTTCTCTTTGGCTGCTTGTTTCCACATTTTTTTCTCATTTGTTGTGAAAGAAGGACAAATTAAATAGAAATAAACACTTTATATGTCCCACAATCCTTAAGTACGACCTCTTGACCTGACCAAACTTGGTTCGCTTGCAGATGCTTACAGGATGAGTTTGGGCTCACTTTGTCTCTCCTTTAGTGAGCTGTGTCCAAACCACAGCTGAAGGCAGAGAACAGATGACACCTGAAGCATCTTGACCTTAGGTTAACCTCTTCTATCCATGAGCCAGACAGCTGGAATGTCTTTGTCCTTCTAGATGACACCTAAAGCAATAATTATGCTGTCTTGGTGAGGGTAGAGAAATGTAAAAGCTTAATCTGTGTTGTATTTTCTGGACCCTGATGCCTCCAGATGATGCACGTTACCATGGTGATAAACCAAGTATAGCTTTCTATGTCAGAAACATTAACCAGAGCAGATCCTCTTCCCCATTTCCTTGTTTCAATATTTCTCCATATTTTCCTGGTTGCTTGTGTAAGAAATGAAAACTTAGATGTGTGAGAAGGTGAGTGGATGTGTTTCTGAAAACTAGATTAATAGCTTCTGAGCTCTGGGTTGCCTTTTGTATCTCTACTTCTTTCTGTATCTCTGCTTCTGTCTCCTTGAACCCCAGTCGGCCTCAGCAGATGGCCGCTCACACTGAGTCTGGTTCTGCTGGAAGTTTCTTCTTGTTAAAAGGGAGTTTTTACTTTCCACTGTCGCTACAAGCATGCTTAGTGTGAGGGATTGCATTGGAGTCAATGAGTCGATGTAATCAACTGGTTTTCCTTAGATAGAAAACTTGAAAATCAATGTGACTGTATGATCTGGTTGAACTGGAAAGCGCCTTGAGATGACATGTGTTGGGAATTGGCGCTATAGAAATAAACTAAATTGAATTGGGTAAAAGTTAGTTTAAAGTACTAATATATTACTGCTGTAGTGCTGTTGAAAAACTGTTGTAATCCAGTTATAGCTCAGCTTAGTACTGCTTTATTCTTGTTGTTGTACTGCTAAATAACTGCTGTAGTCTTGCTGTAATACTGCTCTTGTCCTGTTGTAATACTTCTGTAGACAAGCAGTAGACCTATCTTTGAACTCCTGTAGTCTTGCTAGGCCTGGTGTAGTCATGTTACAGTACTGCTGAATTCCTTTTGTAGTCCGGCTGTAGTCTCCGGTATTCCTGCAGTAGTCCTATTGTAGTTCTATTAAAGTATTGCTGTTGTCCTTACTGTTGCAATACTGCTGTCATACTGCTGTAGTTCTGCTGAAGAACAGTTGTAGTCTTGCTGTATTCCTGCAGTAGTCCTGTTATAGTACTCCCGTTATGACTCGTCTGCAGATCTTTAGGTTTTCATTTAATCTCCAGTTTCAGTTTACTGACTTAACCATTAAAATATATAATGCATTATTAATGATCGAAGGTCTATGTGGGGATGGTAGGGTTAGGGTGGGTTGAATTCACTAAATGTGGGTCTAATATTTTAGGAATCAAAAGATGCTAACTAATGCTGTGATCCATTTCTTCTAGTTTTATCATCTCATCCAGAGGCTCACCTTTTGGTGGGCCAAGTGTTTTTAAATGATGCATCCAATGATGCCTTAATGGGTTAATGTTCATTTGCTGCTGCTTGTTTGACCTTTGAACTCTTTAACCTTCCAGAGATAATGAACAATGTGATCAAAAAGGCAAGAGAGAAAGGAAAATGGAAGGTAGTGGAACTTTTCCTACTACATTTTTTGTAGATGCTGTTGTTCAGTCTGACCAATAGCTGACCTTCTCTTTCATGTAGGTGCTGGTGGTGGATAAGCTGAGCATGAGGATGGTCTCCTCCTGCTGTAAGATGACTGACATCATGTCAGAGGGGATCACCAGTAAGTGAGACCACCTCCATCTGACTCCCTTTAACTGCCTCTTATTTCATTTGAGCTGTTCAATCTGTATTCAGTTTAAACGAACGTTTGAACGATAACGTGTTCTGAGTAAAAAGCATCCCTGCTCTGCTCTGCAGTCGTTGAAGACATAACCAAGAGGCGGGAGCCTCTGCCCACCATGGAGGCCATCTACCTGATCACACCTTCAGATGAGGTCAGTGAAGCAGAACTGGTCCATTGATGAATAAACAGAAATCTTTGTTTGTAAGTAACCCCCCATTGCACCAATGTCTTCCTTGGCCCCCACCAACACATTCTCTCTGTTGCTTCAGTCTGTCGAGGGTCTTATTGAAGACTTCAGGGACCCCCAGGCACCGAGGTACCGAGCAGCCCACGTCTTCTTCACTGACAGTGAGTGAATTTCACCAACACTCCAGGCTTTGTTCAGGTCAGAACATCCGGTACCAACAGCTGAAAGTACGGTGGCCGAAAGTGCAAACCAACAATGAAAAATCTGAAACACTTTTACAAATCTTGAAACAACTTTACATTTGAGAAAACAAATTTTCAACAAACAAAACACTTTTACAAATAATAAAACAAATTTACTTTTCAGAAAACACTTTTACAACTGACAAAATGCGACGGAAAGGGAGGGACTGTCCTCGAAGCTTACCCGGAAGTGATAACCGGAGCGTTCATGATGACCCAAGATGGAAGCTAATCGAGTTGCGTTTTGCCCGTTCTGCGGCACTTATATGAGCAGTTTAACGCGGTTTTGTTTTACTGTGGTCGGTCCTTGGAGTTTTTAAATGGTACAGAACAGACGGAAGAACCAGATATGCTGCAGCAGTGCATACATTATTTTAATGAGGGTCACTCAAACGCTGTAATCGTAGACATGATGTCATGTTTACATGGTGTACACATCAGCTTGAGGTCTCTGAAAAGCAAACTGAATGATGCTGGTCTTGTGCGAAATTCTGTTTCCCTGTGAAAATCTGTTCCCCCTGTGTCGGGACCGCGCATTGCAGCCAGAGAGGCGGATCTGACCATTTTCAAGGTGCTACTGATCATTTTTCGGTGAAAACAGCTCATATAATCATGTCAAATTTGTAACATACAGTTTAATCGGTTGCTCTTTTTACAAATTTGTAAAATAAATACATTAACGAGGTCTTCTTAAGCTGTTTTGTGTTGTTTTTTTAAACGCCAAGAGAATCGGTATTTCTCCAACTTTTGTCCCTTTAGCCTGACAGAAATAAACATCAGTCACCAAACAGATTTCCAACACGTAGTGTATTTTTTATTTTTTATTGCTGATATAAGAGGATGAAAACTGGCTGATAGCAGGGCACACAAATTAGAATTTCTGGTCAATCCCCTTCTAATGTAAAATATGAAATATTACTGGATTAAGGACATTTCTAGTATAACATATCACACATATCAATTTTAGAGAAATTGGAAACAGTTGCTCTTTATTTCCCAAATATATGGGAGGAGTAGAGGCGAGAATGGATGATTCAGTTTACTGAAATAATCTGTTCCCCTCCAAAACATGGGAAGAAGTAAATGTACCTGCAGGTCTTTAACTGTGCTTATTCCCCTCACCACCAACAACAAATCCTGTGGATTTGGTCATATTTATTCTTTATTTGCAAAAATTAAAGGGTGAACAGATTATTTCAGTTTACAGTTTACTGAAAAAATCTGTTTGCCCCTTTTGTTAAAAGATCTGCCAGATACAAACCCATGTAGGGATGGGAGGCCCTCAGAATTATCTGACCATACGAGATGATCCAGTCTGTTATACTTTGGTGGATTTCTTTCTAATTAATCCATAATCCTCCCCAACTTTAAGACAGTCACAGTTTTAAGCAGAAATTATGGAATTATTTACTCTATGTCATATTTATTTGCATTCATTCTCATGCAAAGTATTTCAGCCCAACTATAACTTCCTTAAATACAGTAGAATAGAATAAATTAGCAGTTAAAATAAGCTTGCTTTCTCTGAATAACTGGTTGATAAATGGTTCTTTGCAGCAATCCCAGACTCCCTGTTTGGACTGCTGACCAAATCTCGCGCCTCCAAAGCCATGAAGGCCTTGACTGAGATCCACTTAGCCTTCCTGCCCTATGAGTCCCAGGTAAGATAACCCACCCCCACCCTGGGATAAGAGGGAAAATCTTCTACAGCATAGTTAGTGACAGACAGGGCTGTTTGGCTTCATACTGCATGTTGACAGAACATTTATCGTGCTTTTAATATTTTATTAGTGACAATATTTCTTCGCTGGGTAAGATATTAAAATAAATTCAATTCACTTAAAAAACTTCGTCTGTTCCTGTTTAGCTGTGACTCCATCCTGGAGAGAAATATCAGCTGTGCTGCTGCCATCAACACCTTTGTTTATAGATGTTGGAGAT